ACCCACATTAAGAGTTCACAAGCTTGTGATCCCCCTAGAACACCAGTATACCTGCTGCACTGGTGTGCATTGATGTAACGTCACTATTGTTATACAGTACCATTTGCCAAGGTGAAACGGCGAGCATAATGGCTTCACATTCCCAGAGATCTATCATGTCCCGTCTCCCTCACCTCACCCTCAACCTCTCACAGCAGATGGCTGCCCCTGCCTAAGACTAGTTCATCCTGTTAAAAGGGAGTTTTTCCTTCCCACTGTCACCAAGTCCTTGCTCATCCAGGGTTGTTTAATTGTTGGAGTTTTCTCTCTGTTCTTGCATAGTCTTTACAATGTAAACCATTTTGAGGCAATTTGGCGCTTAATAAATAAAACTGAGGGAAATGTGTTAACCACTACATGGACTGCTGTTGCCGTTTAACAGTTTGAAAAACTGCAAAGAAGTTTGAAAGAGAAAGATTAAACCAGTAGGTTCTCAGTCATCCAGGTCAGAGTAGACGTAGGAGCTTGTAAATAAAAAAAAGACGACAGGACTTCTTTAAGTTTGTGAAGACCTTTTATCTCTCAATTTAGAAAAGTCCCGTTACCTTCATTTTCAAGCTCTTAAGAATTACGTGTTCGGCATCCGTCAACTGATCTCTCTTGATCTCGTTGCTCTCTGTGTATGCAGATATGTGCCTAGATCATCACATCTCATATCAGTCTGTGCCTCACGATTACCACTATATGGGGGTTCATACTGCTACATTAATTGAGTCCAACGTTAGGCTGTTCATGGGCCCTCGGGAGCCAGTAAAGCTGCCGGCGTTAACGACTTTCCTGGCAGGGACACTAAAGCTGCTCACCAGTTTGTGAATTACACAGCTGGAAAGTTAATAAACAATGACCCAATTATTTACTTTCTCATTGTGTGGCTATCGTACTGCGTGTAATACCAGCCAAAATATCAATATCAGAATTGTTTACTCCCTGAAAATAACATTAATTATTTAGAAATATTCAGTGTGATTCCCAAAAGGCCCCATTTCCTGTTTACATATGGATGTTAAGGAAAAATAAAATGATTCGACTTCATTTCGACGGCCAAACTTTTTGCACAGTATCGTCCGTGTGCAGGCACAGAGGGGGTGACACAACATCCCTGTTCTGAGAAGTTTGCTGAAACTTTGTTCAGCATTGTTAATGATTGCCTACAGTGTGGCATCTGCTCTTTGTTGCACACACACACACACACACACACACACACACACACACACAGGCAGACACACACACACACACACACACACAGACACACACACACACACACACACACACACACACACACACACAGGCAGACTTTGTATTCAAGGGCCCTTTGCTGCTGATGCCCTGCCCAGGAATGTACAGCTGAACCTGCTCTCACATACAGTCCAGCTGATCCAACAGACACATATGTGCACACACACACACACACACATAGTATAAACAATTGAGCATGCCCAGCTATGCCTCTGATGAAGACTCTGAGCAATGCTATCACTTTAACCATGATGGGAGGAAATTGATTTCCTCTCCCACGCTTCAAACACAGCTAACTGGGTCAGAGGTAAAAGCAAAAACAGAAAGCAAGGTGAAGGGGGGCTTTGAAAATGAAAGAACTTGAGAAAACCGATGAGACAACACAACAACAACAACAACAACAACAAAATGCTCATCTATTACAGTTCTCCTAAAAGGGAAAGTTCAAAAGAAAGTGCAGCACTAGGTAAGTTTACAGCTCAGGATGGGGCTGGGGGGATGCCACTAATGTTTACATCCTGTCACACTGTCACGAGCACAAGTTCCTCATCGGGGACACATGCACACTACTTTCTGTGCAATGACACACTTGCTGGTGGTAATTCGATGAAAATAAAACAGTTCCCACATGAAAGCGCTCACAATAAAGTCTGCTGATATTTTTTTTCATGTCTTTGCATAACCAGGTCATGACTTCTGGAGAAAGAATCTGTGCATCACCTCTACAGCTGATATCTCCGAAACTGGGCAATTCGCACCAAAGAAATCAAACTGGAACAACAATACTTCAGGCCATATTTTATTTTCTGAATCACATTTTATCCTTTCACCATAATCAGCCAGTTTCATTTTAACTCCTAATGTGCAAGTCAGTGACGAAGCACCACATAAGCTGAAATGATAACTTTTAACAGTGTAAACAAATGTCTGCTTTGTGATTAATTTCACAATCAACTGCATTAAACTCCTTTAGCTACAGTTCCAAAGAGAGGTACATCTTTGAGATTTCACCGCCACAGAGGAAGGCATGAATTTTATTTTCTGGGTTTGTTTGGAGCAAGCAGAAAAAAAATGTGACAGTTTGCACCAACTGTGAAAAACTTGAAACTGCAAAGAGACTAAAAGGCGAGGCTTGGTGAGGCGAGGCATAGACTCGGGTCTACAAGACCTCTCCACTACAGTTCCAACCGCATAAGTACAGTGCAGAGAAAACCACAGCAACAGGGTACATGAAGGTATGTGAACTTCTCAGCAAACTGACTTTGACCTCAAAAGATCACCTGCCAGTTGCACTGCTGCTTGCAACTTACAAAAAAAAGAAGAAAAAGGAAGAACTATACCTTTTTTGGTAGGTGGGGTACCCTAACAGAGAGACTTCTACTGCTCTGATGTTTGGTTTTAAACATGGTAGCATGTGGCATCTGTAAATACAGGTAGATGCTAATGAAAAACGGTAATTAAAGTACAAACCCTTCAAAAGCATTGCCGTTCCAGTTCCACACTGGCTGCAAAAGTCCTGCAGATTTACTGGATTTGGCAGAAAAAGTGCGTGAGAGCCAAGCTGTTGTACATGTGCTTTTAAAAGAGTCATCGAAACGTGGCACAAGTCATAAAAGTCATTCTCTGTTTAATGGATTCACTCGAGGCTAATTATAATCAGGCAAAGGAGCGGCCGTGACAACACCTCGCTCGGTTTCTTGCAGGCTGAAAGGATCTAATAACTGTTAAAAATGCAGAGATTACACAGAGTCTGAGTTTTGTTTTTAAAAACTGGTCTTTTCAGTCACAAGGCTTCAGACAGATCTATTGGTCTCCACTTTCAGGTAAAAGCAAATCAGTCAAGCTGTTTCCCCTGGAGACAAAAGCACTTTTGACCGTTCATACAATTTTTGTTGTTTTTTTTTATTTAAACAAAGCTGGTCGTGCAGGAATTTATAGTGAAGCTCCATCACGCAAAAGACGGGAAGAGGTGATGCTATAAAATCAAATGTTCTTGCTGTTCACTAAAGAAATGCTGAACTTTAAAAACAGGCAAGAACAAGCCTGTAAAGTTAGATAGAGGCCTCAAACATCCTTCCCATTTAAGGGTATAGTCAACCGGCTAGAAACACTGAGATCATTTCAACTTCCACATCAGCTCCACCGCTCAGAGAAATGTTTGTATAACTACACTTCCCCCTAGCTGCCTTACTCACCCTTCATTTGGCATAAACAGCAGTTATTCTCATTTTTAGAGTCTGCTGATCATTCTAAGAATAAGAGGAAATGCATGCATTGTATGCATATGAGAGATGCAGAGTTTTTTGTGTAGGGGAGGGTATTTGCATAGTAAATACAGTACGTGCTCTATTATCATGAATGCTAGATGCATCGCAGGCCTCACAGAGAAGCACTAGGTGCATAGGTAAGGTTGGCCATTACCTATAGCTGTTAAAGGACTGTAGAAAAAAGATAGCTTTAAACTAACTCATACATGTGTACAGGGTCTCTTACGCTGCAGAACTTCCGTATGTTCTCTCTATGCCTGTTTGGGTTCTGTCCGGCTACTCCGGCTTCCTCCCACAATCCAAATCAAAGTGTATGTTTGATGAATGGAGTGTGAATGGTTGTCTGCCTCTCTGTGTGTGACCTGCCCAGCCCTTACCCTGCCTCTAGCCCCATGGCAGCACCGCTCCTCGATTTGGATAAGCAGAAGAAATTGGATTCTACATCAAACAATCCACTACGCTCTCGTCCATCACATAACGAAACGTTTGCATGTGCTTTGGTGGAAAACTTTGTAGGTGTCTAAGACTGACATCTCTTGATGGCCAATATTGCCACTGTCAACAAATCAAAGCCTGAATCAGGAGGTTGGAGGATGGAGTTCCATCAGCACCAAGACTGGGGTTCACATCCCATTTGGCACTTCTTCTGTTTTTCAATTTTCCATAGGGGACTTTGACATATTCAAATATTCCCTCCATCCAGCTTCTGTTTATTCAATTCAACACATAGAGACAGACAACCATTCACACCTATGGGCAATCATCACAAGAATCCCCAGTTAACCTGACCTAACATTCTACTACAAATGATCGGAAACGCACTAAGAAGCTGTTTGTCAGCTACCATTAAACACAAAGGAGAACACTACTCACTGCTGGGTGTTGGACCTGTAAACTGAGTGCGCCCCAGCTCCTATTACAAAAACTGCAGAAATATGCAAAGTGAATGGATTAACTGTGCAAACACCACAATGTAAAGGTAGCATCGCGCAGTCAATTTAAAGCAGATCTGATGGGTGGCAACATCTGGAGAATAGCCAAATACTTCCAAGTAAAGGAGGATTTTCAGGCTAAAATATGTATCCCTTCTCTTCACTTTTGCTTTCACCCTGTAGTTAAGCTTAAGCACAGAAATTGAATATTAACCCTGCAGACTTCACCCCAAAAGTGGATTTAGTTTTTTGTTTTGTTTGTTTTTTAGATTGCAGTGTTTTATGAAACGAAGTGAAATACAGTCCACTTTAGGTGCATGCCTAAGCCAAAAAAAAGGGGGCGACACAACTGGCTTCATGCCTTTGTGTGTGCACATAAGCTAAAAAGTGTCTACTTCACAACTTCCTATTACATAGTAAATAATCTGTTCCAGATTGGTTGCCAGCCTTCATAATAACTGTCATTTAATCAATGAACCAATCATCTCCTGGATGACTTCTTCTGGTTTCCAGCATTGCAAATTCAACATCGTCCAGCACTGAAAAACAACAGCTGTATTTCACACAGTCCTCCACCTGCCACCCCCACCCTCTCCACGCTAACACGGGATGTGATGTCATAGGCGTTTCACTACACATAAGCTGAAATTGAATTGATGAACTGATGCCAGTGTGTGATCTGGCATCTGCTGCACTGTACGCTGCATGTCACCATTGGTCGGTCATGCAGATCCACAGATCAAAGTTCACTGCTTTATCAGGAAACCTGAAAGTGCTGCACCAAACTGTGGCTGGGGCTTCATCACCTATCTACCCAGCCAGCCATCAAACAAACAAACAAACAAACAAACAGATCTGAAGCTGCAGTGATGATATACTCCACACGCCAAGTTTCATTTAGTTTCGACCAGCACCGCCATCCTGACTGACACTCAAAACGAACGCCGCTGAAGCGCAGAGGGTAACATCTCGGCAGCAGGAGTCCGGTGCAGAGTTAAGCTGGAGGCAGTGCACCTGGCTGCTTTCCCAGAGTTGTGTTTGAAAAGAGGCTGCTGGCCCTTTAAAAGCTAAGATGGTGTCCTGCAAGCTGCATTTGCTGCCTTCCGTTTCCTTCCTGCCTTTCAGAGATCACAGAGCATTCAAAATTGAACCTGAACTAACCTGGCGCACAGAGGGAAAGCCAGATACACAGGACACACACAAACACACACACAAGGAGGATTTTGTTTTCCTTTTTCTGCATTAGAATTAGAGGACTCTCGGAATGATGTTATTGCAATGCAATGAGGTCGCTGTTACAAAACTCTTCCACTAATTTGCAAAATAAACTGCCTGCAAGGACACACTTGTGACTGTTATAGAAGCACAGGCTATATTCGCTCACTGACAGTCATATTTTTGGCTCATGTTGGGTTGACAATGTCAACTCTGCTTGTGTACAGGCAGATCACCCACACAGGTAGATGTTTCTTCTTCTTTTTCTTCTTCTTATTTTTATTTTTTTTAATTCCTCCACTGACCAGGGCAAAGCCAATAACGTGCACTTACTTTCTTGTTACGGGTCTCCGTGTGCATCTCGGTTGCCGGAGCGGTGCAGCGGCGGAGGGGTGGAGCAGCAGGAGCAGGAGGGGGTCGGTCGGGGCTTTGGGTGTAGCTCTATCTGAATCAGAACTGTCAGGGAGAGAGAGGAGGGCTTTTTTGGGGGTGCTAGTTTTCCACCTTTACAGTCAAATATTTCGGGATATAGGAACACGATCCCTGCCTCTTCCAGTGTTTCTTTTCAGTTCATATCCGCGGCGTCGAAGGCTCCCTGTGCTTTTACCCCCCCAAAAAACAAAAAAAAAAACAGCCAGTCTCTCTGTGTCTCTCCCTCTCTCTCTCTGTCGGCGTGTTGTTGCCGTGTATTCAAGGGCTGGGCTCTCTCTCTCTGCCTTTTCCTCCTCCGCCTCTCCCTGCTTGTGACCCCACCCTGCGTCCCCACCCCTCATCTCTCTGTCAGTCAGGAGCTGCGCAGCCCTGCAGCCCTGCAGAGGAGCGGGGCCGCTCTGCCGGCGACCCGACACCGGCAGCGGGCGGGCGGGCAGTGCAAGAGGAGCTGCTGCAGAAGCACCAGCGCACAAATGCAAAGAGAGAGGCGTGGAGGTGTGGGGGGCTTTAATTGCATCTACCAGCACTGCTCTCCACATTACCTCCTCTCCCATGCACCAATGCTGTGCTGCAGCAGCTTATTGCCCACGGATGATGATGAAGAGAAACACCCATGTCACCTTACTGACGTCACCCAGCAAGCTAATTGAGGACACTTAAGCTGGGCGGGGAGGGTGGGGGCGTTAGGAAATGTATCGAGGCTTTGCAGCATTCGGTTTAATAAATGTGACACCGTGCACAGCCAAGATGGAAGGAGGAGAGGCACAGCCAGTTCGGGTGAAAGATGTAGTCATAACCACACCCTCGGTAATAGAGAGGGGTGTGGCAAGTGCGAGGGCGTTATTATTTTTTTATTTTCTTTTTCTTCAATAGGGATTTTGCACAAAGGAAAAAATGTAGTCTGCATGTCAAGACTGATGAGGATTTGCATATTGAGCGCAAAACGGAGCCAAATAATGCAGAGGAGATGTGCAGTGTGTAATGTGCAGTCTAAGAACCTCAGGCTTTTTAGTAATCCCGGTTTTGCATTAAAAATGTTCTTGCTGGGGGGGTTCTCCGCAAATACCCATAATTTGGGGTTAGGTTAATATCACACATAGGTGCGATACGCTGTCTTTATTAATTCCCACAACTGTAAACATGAAAACAGTGCTAACAGTTTAGTTTCTGTTGGACTACATTTCCCATGATTCCACACCGGAACTGACAATTCTGCCAGGAAACATGAGGAGGTAAACAAAACTTTCAGTTATCCTTGTTGTATATTACTCATTTCAAACATTTGTGCCACTTGAATCAAACACGTTGGGTTTTAGACCCCGGTCAACGACGCTGTAAGGAAAAAAATAACAATGTAAATCCGTTACGTACCTTTTACGTCTACCTCAGGATGTTGTCATGGAGATAGCAGCTAAACTCATGTAGCGTTAGCTCATCTGTCAGGCTAGCAGCTTTACAAACTACTTTTACATGTTTATTCAGCACTTCTGTAGATTACTGTTAAGCACGGACCGTCTCCCGTCTCGTGGGAGAGTCTTCCGTTACCTTCGATCTGGATAATGTTAAAAGAAATTTTTAAAAAATAACAGAAATACGTTAGCGTCATCTCCTGCACACCAAAAGCAAGGTGAGGTTGTATTTTGGCTTCCTCTGTAGGTGGGATAGCATTGGGCTTTTTCAGAGCAACCACTCATGTTGTATTCATACAAATGCACCGTGAACAAAAGCACAAATAAAGTATGATTATGTACCTTATAAATTCAAAAACTGATAAATATCTAAATAAAAATAAGCAGAATTCTTTGCACTGGAGAAGCATGCCCTACAGAGTTTACTAGTTAACGTGGGCTAATTTACCTGGGGCTGAAATCACGCTGTACAACAGTGCGGGGAAAAAGGTGTGCAACTGCTCCGAGGTCTGTTTTCTGTCGTTTGGTGGGTGTGTCAGGAGGGCTACCCAATGAGGAGTAACCAGGACGGACAGGATTAGGAATGCGTGTGTCACAGAGACAGGTCAGGTTGAGCAGCTTGGAGACATGGCATAGTCTGGACGTGAGCAGAGGAGGGATAGTGGATATAATGGACAAAGGATGATGAAGATGGAGCTTCCTGGCAGGGGGAAAATAAGATGACTGCAGAAAGGATTTATGGATGTAGTGAAGGAGGACATGCAGAGGGCCGACGTGACGGAGGAGGAATAGGATTAATAGATGAGATGGAGGCTGTGGTGAAAGTGTTCAAATATTCCAAAAACCTACCTTCTGGTTCTTTTCCCATTCACATTACCTTACCCTGAACGTGTGTGCGTGTATTCTTCAGGTAATGTGATAGACATAGAGATGTTCACAAGTAGCAGATTTGTGTTGCATCAGGGTCGTTCCGTCTCAAATCATCAGATTTTTAGATCATTTTCTGCTCGACCAGCTCCAATTAATTTGACATATATGTTGAGTTCTGTGAAATTTTAGCTTCAGTATTAAATACCTTCATAGATATTTATTTTTAAAGAGGCCTATCCATCCACTTCTTTTTGCACTTTTGCATTTGAGCGTGAATATCTCAAAAACTAAAGCCTGAAATTTTTTCTGGCCTTTCTTACTTAATACAGGATCTGCTTTATGGTGGATCGAAAATACAGTAAGGAGAGGTAACAGGAGCAGCAGTATATCAGATCATTTAAATGTGTGCAGGAGATGCAGAAGAGAGTGGAAAAACACAAACACCATAGTTTCCATTTAAATAAACATGTATAAATCCATGTTCACCGGGTGCAACATCCAAGCTAACGCGTATGTAAGTCTATACGTTTAATAGATGTGAAAAGGTCACTGTACAAGTAGACTTTGATGTTTCTTCACATCCAGCTGTTGTCTAAGGAGGTTGTAAAGAGAATGGCTGGACTTCTTTAAGTTTTGTGAAAACGTTTCACCTCTAATACAAGAGGCTTCTTCAAACTGTGGAGAGTCCCAGGTATATGAATCCTAGAGAGGGTTGTCCGTCAAGAGGGTTGTTGACCCACTATTAATCATGTGCCTCATCACATGAGCCAAGGTGATACCACTGTAAAACTTTGCCTCACCCTATTATGTCACTTATTGAGGTCACCAGACGCAACATGTGAGTGGGGGTTGAGATGCCTGGGAAGGAATCTCAAGACTACATCGTAAGTTGTGGAACTGAAGTAGACATCTTCCCAAAACGTAAAGAAGTCCAGTCGCTTTCTTTCCAGGCTCCTTAGACTCCCATGACTTAGAGGAATGAGACATACACCCAGGTGTTGTTGAGATTCTGGCATCTAGAGATAAGGCATTTGTGGGAAGTAGGCAGAGCTGTTTGACAAACTGTAGGCTGTAGTGGGTGTTTTAGGCTACCTGGCTAAGGACGCTTAGTTTTGGGTGAAATAGACATTATAAATGATAGACACAATGAAGTCAACTCAGACGTGCCTTAAACCTTTATTCTGTTTAATGCGCAACAGAACAAAAGACTTCCAGTCCTGTAGAAGTTAAGAGAAAACTGGCTTGTGCTCTCGTTCTCTTTGACCTCAGTGAACACTTTCCTGATGACCTGATGATTGGCTGAGTCACTAGTTTTGATCAATGTTTAATAGAATAATAAGATCTTTTTGTGAATTTTGGTCTTTTTAAGAGTCAGAAAGGATGAATGTCCAGTATGTGTTCGTAATTTAGTGAGGATGCAGTTTTTCCAAACGCACCCTCAATCCTCACGCGTGGTCTCAAAACACCAAGACGTCGACAGCAAAAACACGCACCTCAAGGCTTCTGAACGAGACTTCACTAACCAATGGGTGATTTCATGTTTGCAACATAAATTGCATGTGGCTCATGCAAGCTATCTCCAGTCTATATTTAAGTCATAATTTTTGCCTGAAACTTCTTGAAGATGTTTTTTTGAGAAAAGAGTCTTATGTGTTATCCAATAATCCAGTACTACATCTTTAAAACAAATTTTATAGAATGAAATCTAATAATGATGCACCAGTGCTCAAATGAGCATTGATGGTAAGGAATATGTGTGCCCATGTTTGTCTCCTAGCTAAAAAAATCAAGAAGATGATATGCCAGAGAATTGAACTGGCACGTTTACTCAAAGCAAAACAGTACTTTTTCATTCAAAATTGTAAGATTATTTCTTTAACCTTAAAACAAGTCCCACAGTCCTTCAGTGCTGCAGACAACCCCAGAGTCTGGGACAAGCAGTAGATATGACAGTGTGACCTCCTGCAGGGCATCTACATACATATATCAGTGCATATTGCAAAAACCTACTGCAAGCTTGCGTAATATTCTGTGTTTTGTGAAGATTTATAATTCCAAACGAATTCTGGCACTTGATAAAAGCATTTATAATGTAGGGATAGGCACTCCAAGACAGTATTTACTTTACAATAATTTACCAAGTAAATTGTTTAATTATTTGCTGAAAAAAGCAGGTATTTATTGGTAATAGAGGTAGGGATTTTTCAAAAACACAATGACAAAAAAACATATATGCGTCTGCTGTCGGCCAGATTCTCAATTTAATAGAAAAATACCAATCAGCATCAGCAGTCTCTAATGTCCATATAATACAGCCATGTTTATTGAATTCACAAATCTGCAATGGCCTGGTATAATTGCTCATATTAAATCATTTAGATCATTTTTCTAGCAAAAATACCCATTATCGCTAATGTGAGGACTTTCTCTGATTCTCTGTGTTTGTATCTTCCTTCAGTACTGTGGGGTTTTCATCTCTTAGCAGTTGTAAATAGAGCAGGGCGATATGACCAAAAATATTTATCACGACATACATTTGAAAATTTGCGATAACGATATAACTGACGATATAATTGACACTAGACAAATTTATATTTATATTATATTATAAGGGGCACGGTCGATTTTCAGAAAAATCAAAGGATCGATTTTAAGTGTGCCGTATTTTCCAAAAAACACGGTAATAACGACGGCCCGCTAGCATGCTCTACCAAAGATAGTGCTTTGTTGTGTATGACGGATGAAAGCTAAACCAGTTCCACACCACTGAAGTTTTTGCATTTTTACAAACCAATTCTGGTTCATCCGTTTCATTTAACAATCCGCTTTCGCCCTGCTCATTCTCCGTCGCCGCCATGCTTTTTCCGCCATGTGTGTATGAAAACAAAGGCACTGCGCATGCGCGTTTTACCCATATTCTATCGCGATATTTCATTTTCTTATCGTTGCCCAACATTATACCGGTATTACTGTCAACTATGGCCCAGCACCAGTTGTAAGCAGGTGATCTGAGGTCATTTTTCACAATGTTGTTAATTTTATTTTGAGAATTCCGGGAAGCTAAAATAAATACAGATGTTATTACTGTTGTTTGCATCAGATGTGGTTTAGTGATTTCAGGCACTTTTTCTAGAAAGCCGTACTACTTGACACCTCCAACTTGATTCAGTCTTGTGAACTTAGTTGTGGCCTTTTTAGCCAGTTTTAAAAGGTATATCTCTTTTATATCAGCATCCAGTGAGTCTCTGAACTGCTGTGTGTCTGTGTTAAATTTGTCAGAGTGACCCGGCGACCCTGTGAGGATGGCCCGCTGCTGGAAGAGCAGGAGACCGAGGGCCAGCGGCAGCTGCATGGCCTCTTGCTGCAGCAGCTC